TTACTGATTTAAAAATTCAGATACTGCATATAAACACAGAGATAATAAGTACTGCTTTAATTTATTTTTAAAAATATGTATGTTTTTAGATTCCTTTATAGAATTTGGCAATTTATTAAATGTTTTTAAACCTAGGAACTCTGGCGAGTTAAATTTTATATCCCGTTTCGTTGAGGGAACATAAAAATTTTTGTTATTTCTTGTATTAAAATTATGTACATTGCTGACAAGATTAAATTTTGATTTATTTTTATAAACAAAAACAGACAACTCCAAAACATACAGACTAGACAAAGTCAAAATATTAAAATTATTGAAAACTGGCTATAATTCTTAAAAAAATCAGTGGACACAATAACATCTTTATCAATGTCTATATTAATAGGGTTACATAGTTTTTGCCTATTGTGAAATTGCACCAATGTAGTTTTTTCTGTGTTAAAATAAAGTTTGTTTGTTAAAAAATCGGATACTTTTATTAGGGCATAATTACAATCCTCTAATAAACTTTTATTATTTTTATTTGAGACTAGAAGTGACAAATCATCAGCATACATAGTAAAATTATTATTCAAGTATTTTTCAAGATTATTAACGTATAAAATAAAAAGCATGAGACCGAGAACTTAGCCTTGAGGGACCCCCATCTCAATGTCCAAGTAACTTGACTTGACATCAGACATAACATTATTTTCTTGGTGCTTAATAACAACATATTGCTTGCGATTAAGCAAAAAAGAGGATACCCAGTCTAAACAAAGTCCTCTAATGCCATATTCAATTAACTTATTAAACAGTATATCAAACTGTACACAGTCAAATGCCTTCGTTAAATCGCAAAAAAACCAACAATTTTATTATAAAATCAATGAATTGCCGTTGAAGTGGATAGGCCATTTCTAAATCCATGTTGGTTAGCCGTTAATATATCATTTTTATTTAGAAAGTCTGTCAATCTATTTAAATAGGCATATTCAAAAATTTTTGAGAAAACAGAAGTTAAAGTTATTGGTCTATAATTTTTTAAAGATTCCTTACTGCATTTTTTATGTATTGGAAGCAGTTTTCAAATTTTTAAAGATTTTGGAAATACCTTTTTCAAAAGAAAGATTTATTAAAAACGTTAAGGGTCTCACAATTACATGAAGAATGCGTCTAATTAAAAACATTGGAATTTCATCTTGACCAGCTGATTTTTTATTTTTTACACTTTTCATAACTAAATTATAAAGTTCATTATCTGTATATGGATTTAAGAACATTGATTTTGTATTTTTTGTGCATTGTTTGTTTATAGTTTTTCTGTTTATTTTTATTTCATTTACTACATTACGAGGTGCATTTATAAAGTATTCATTAAACAACTTGGCTATAATATTGGGATTATTAATTTTTTCTTGGTCATGTTCTATGACTATATTTTCATGCTTACTTTTCTTATTGGATAATTCAGAAATGATTGTTCACATAGCCTTTGATGGATTAGATGATGAAAATATTTTATTCTGGTAATATTGTTTATATGTATTCGATATTAAAAGTGAGTGTTTTTTTAGATTCTTTATAAATAGGTAGTAATTCAGGATATACATTTTTAAGAAAATAGAGATCTTTTAGCTTTTCGCTTGAACGTTTTACGTTGTTATTAATCAATTTTTTTGTGTGATTTTTTTTATTGCTACATTTCAGTTTTGGAAAATTTTTGTTAAAATAAAATAAAAATAAATTTATAAAGTTTTCATATGCAATGTTCATTTTCGTTAAGTTTAAAACATTAATCCAGGATTCGCAGTAAAGTTCGTATTGAAAACTTAAAATTGCCTCCTCCTTAAAATTACGCCTATAAAAAGTACTATTACTATATTGTTTATCCTTGAAATTTAGTTTTAAAAACACACTTCTATGGTCTGAAATATTATTATCCAGCACTACACAAGACATTCACTGGTAAAATTTATTAAAACATGATCAATCAACGTACAAGAATGGACCGTAACTCTGGTGGGCCATTTCAAAACTGGCAAAAAATTAAAAACTGATAAATTAACACATAACGTTTCATAATTTACATTTAAGAAGGCATTCAAATTAGTGTCTCCAAACAGAATAAAATTTATATTAGGCTCATAAAAAGAACTTAAAACATTATTTAACTGTTCAAAAAATATATTTAGATCTCCATTTGGAGATCAATAGCAATTTAAAATTATGTAGGTAACAGAATCTATTTTAAAACAAACTGCACAAATTTCAAAGTGTTGCTCAATACAGTAATTTAAAACATCTATCTTTTAAAAATCTTGATCATCACGAGCCCATATTCCAACTCCACCACATTTAAGAAGAGGTCTACAGTAGTAACTACAAAGTTTAAATTTATCAATATGCATGGAATTTATTTTATCTGACTTTACTCCTATTTCTACAAGACACAAAAATTTTAAATTAGTGTAATCATTAAACTCTACCTCTAATGATTTAATTTTATCTAAACTTATAGTATTTACATTTAATAATAAGATATCAGGATTAAATATCATGCACTGCTTTCCAGTCTCTTGCGAATTTGAAAAAACCGACTTACACAGGCACCAAACGGCCATACCTGTGGATCCATAGCCTTTTGGAAATTATCCTCATAAATAACAACTTTAAAGGAAGAATATAGTTCTGGATGTTTAGCTGTCATACTTTTACAGTTTACTTCTGGTAAATGCGGTCGTAGCATCGACTCCAGATCTTCCTTTGTCGTATTCGGATCAATCCTATAGACGTGCAGTGAAGCTAACTTTGGCACACCTTTTATATTAGTGCTTATAGTGTTATTTTAAAAAATAACCGGGCGTTTGTTTTTCTTTTTATTATTAACCACTTTTCAATCCTCTTTTATTGGTGTTTTTTTATTGGGTTCTAGATGAATATATTTATTTAATGCAATCTTTGTTTGTGTCTCTAATATACCAGATGATAATTGTTTTTTAGATATATTTTTATTAATAATTTTATTCTCAGTAACCTTGACAGGAATTGTATCATTCGCCTTGGTTTTTGTTACACTTTGTTCTTCTCTATGTTTTTCTGATGATTTAGCCGCGTTCGCGGGTTTATTTATATTAATATTTTCCATTAATTTAATTTGATAATTTAATACATTAATTTTATCATAAAGCTCCTTAATAATGGTATTAGACGGAGAGCTGGCGGCCGCGGAGGTACTATGACATTACCTCCGGCTGGAATTTTGTGAAATAGTTGGGGGGACCATGAGGAAGTGCCATCTGCAAGGATTTTGCTCAAAACCCCTGCCAAGGACACGTCAGACGACTCAAAAATGAAAAAATCCTTGCTCAAAAAAATGATCATACCTCCGGCTGAAAATTTGCACATTGCCAGTTTAAATGTCACAGATAATGTATGTAAATCGTCAGACGTCTCAGTCGCTGCCAAAGGGGTGTCAGACGCCATCAAAGTTGTCATTTTTTTTTCAAAAAAATTTTTTCTTACCTCCGTCTGACGTTTCAACATGTTGCAACAGAGACCAGTTTAAGCACATTTTAAAATCGTCAGACGAAAATACCGCCGCGAAGTCCCCCTAAGAGCTGGCGGCCGCGGAGGTATTATGACATTACCTCCGGCTGGAATTTTGTGAAATAGTTGGGGGGACCATGAGGAAGTGCCATCTGCAAGGATTTTGCTCAAAACCCCTGCCAAGGACACGTCAGACGACTCAAAAATGAAAAAATCCTTGCTCAAAAAAATGATCATACCTCCGGCTGAAAATTTGCACATTGCCAGTTTAAATGTCACAGATAATGTATGTAAATCGTCAGACGTCTCAGTCGCTGCCAAAGGGGTGTCAGACGCCATCAAAGTTGTCATTTTTTTTTCAAAAAAATTTTTTCTTACCTCCGTCTGACGTTTCAACATGTTGCAACAGAGACCAGTTTAATCACATTTTAAAATCGTCAGACGAAAATACGAAGTCCCCCATCGTCCGCAATTGTTTTTTGATGAAAAAAAACAAAATTACGTTAAATTTTTGTGACAAATAGGTCAAAAAGAAAATTTTTCAGACGAGATGGTATGTTTTAAGTTTTTTGAGTCATTTTGTAACGAAAAACTTTCTTGACATTATTTAATAAAATCAACCGTTTAGCCAGAAAAAATTCAAACAAATTAAAAAAATGGGTATTCTCCAAACTTCAATTAATTTTTCATAGCGATACAGTTGATTTTTTCGAAAAATGGGAAGAGAACTTTTCTTTTCCGAATGAGCCAATTTATAACAATTTTTACTTTTTATTTTACAACAAATTACTGTTATTACAAAATAATTTGTGTTCCTCTACAAAAAAAATAGTTAAGTTTGAAGAGTACTCACGTTTCTCAAGTTTGAATTTTTTCTGGATAAACTATTCATTTTGTCGAAAAAATGTCAAGAGAGTTTTCTATTTCAAAATCACTCAAAAAACTTAAAAAATACCATGCCACCCTTTAAAATTTTATTTTTGATCTATTTGCCACAAAAATTATATTTTATTTTGTGATTTTTCATTAAAAGTTGAATTACGCTGAATGTTTCACTCTACGAAAAATTCTTATCTTTTGACAGAATCTTTAACTTAAACTAACAATTTCAGCTACAGCTCGTTGAGAAATCGATTTTTTTAAATTTTTTGAAACACCATAAAATGAATATGGTATTTTGTTTTAATATTTTTTTTTTGATTTATTGAAATGCGTATTACCTCAACAAAAGGAAGTCAATTTAAGGGAACAATTTTCAGTACATACATATAAAAAGTATAAAAGTAATAAATAAAAATATTGATCAATATCCGGGGTTTGTAGCGAATATTATTTTATATCAAAAGAATGAAGATGTAATTTTCTGAAAATAAACGTGACTGTTGATTATCGTATGAATTTAAGAGATGTTTTTAAGCGCTTGGTAAATTTATTTAAAAAAATATACTAATGAATACAAAAAAATATAACATTTAATGATTTGATTCATCATCGCTGTTGGTATCGGAAACGTGAAACTCATCATCAAATTCGTCCTCTTCGATATTGATGTCCCAATGATCTTCCTCATCAGACTGATTTTCTGACTCTGTAACGTAATAAAAAATTAGATAATTAGATCAACATTCGAATTAATGTCGGATGATAATAGCATACCTGAATCATTTGATTTTTGTCGTTTATTATCAACTGTAATGTCATCAATCGCTGACGGTAACTGTTCACCTTTGAACCAAATAAAATCGTAATTTCCATCGTCTTTGATAAACCAACCATGTTCTTCGGGACGTTTGATGGTTGGATTTTTTTGGTCCGCATTCAGCCATAATTGGGTAATGTAGGTTGTGCGCAGCAAATGTTGGTGTAATTCGTCGGCGCTTAATGGAAAATTTGAAGCATCGGTATTTCGAATTTTTCTTTTGAATAATTTGGCCTCATCTTGTTTATAAATGGTCTCGAACATTGCCAGACGTGCCTCGTTGACTTTCTGTATACCTTTAATGTTGTAAATATTGCAAACGAATTCTTCTATGACTTCGTATGACGCAGGATCAATGTCATTTTCTCCTAAATCTTCAAAGGCTTTCTGAACTTTAGGAGACTTTTTCAAAATTTTCCAGGGCTTGATTTTTCCTTTGCCATAAAAGGCAGGGTTGTAATCACACCCTGTGAACGCATGCAGACCTGGTAGAGCTCGGCATATACGTACTCCTAAGTTGCCATACAATTGAGTAACATTGATATAATTTTGTGAGTTTCCAACCCCGATATGCATCCATATTTTCAACGCTTCATTGACTTTATTCATGTTGCCCAGCAATATTATAAGAACATCCGTGTCTGAGCTGCGGATCACTACATTAGAATCAAATTCAATTTTTGTTACATGGTGAATTATTTTCGTATCGGCTTCTTCGTGTAATGTGCATGATAAATCCCTGTCGATGAAACGTATGATTGTGTTATTGACAACTTGAAAAGTATAGCATTCATCGAAATTTACATTCAATGTTTTGTCTTTTAAAAAAGGAATAAACGCATCATCCGTCCAATAATTAATCAAAAATTCTACTAGTGCTTCTTTAAAATTATTGCTCCTAAGCTCCTTAGCGAAGTCACTTGGTCGTACTTGCTGCGGTCCTGTGATTGCATAATTAGACAAACTGGCTCCACGCAATTCACGTTCGCAGTCTTTGATTGATGGATTGAAATATCGATCAAACACTACGTCTATTCTTCGGGCATTATTTTTTGTTAATATTTGCAACACTTTTCGCGCAACATTTCCAAAGGTTGTGGGAAGGTCTTTTATCAAATGCAACATGAAAAATCCATCGAAAATGATGACATCGACGTATTGAGGTTCTGAATTATCGTCCACTTCATTCGTTAAAGTTTTCATCAACGTCGATTTATCTGTCTTGCATATAGTGCCATCAACGTGACACAATGACATAGGCATTGGAGTCAAAGGATAAGTCAGTACTTTCGCCAGATCAATTTTTTTCTTCAATGAGAGAGCTAATAGTCGCCCGAATAAATCACGCTGCATTCGTACTTCCTGGACTTTAGCACCCATCGCAACTTTCTTCTTCTTTCCACCAGATGCAAAATTTTGCACAAGATTTTGTTTAATAGGTGTCTCGAATTTCGTGGGATCTAAAGCACATTTCGATATAAAAGCTTTTCGTAACGACTCACCTTTGCTTTCAACATCGATCAAGAATTGTGTTATTTCCAGTGACGCTGCCTTTCCTGTGTGTATATTGTACAGCTGTTCTCTATCAATATCTGGATCAAATGGATTCATTTTCTGTTTTATTTTTTCCATGAAAATTTGTAGTTGAGAATGACTGATTTTCAATTTGCTTGTTTCCAATTCCCCTGATATATCCTGTGTGGTACGTAATCCGGCCTGCTCATATACATGCGAAATGAGAGTTGAACGAATTCCATGACTCTTGGACCAGCGTTGGCGAGCCGTGATTGAATTGGTGAAATGAGAAACACCTGTTAAACGTCTTGCAGCATCTGCGTTAATGGTTTGCTTTAGTGTGAGGTCTATAGGCTGCCTCGAAAATGGCTTATTGGTGCGTTTGACACCGAAACTTCCTTTTCGAAGAGATTCTTCCAGTCCTGGATGAGTTTTGCTGACCTTCAATAAATTGTCGTTATATTTAACTAACCAGCGTGAGTAATTTTGTTGATTAAACGTGAAAAAGAGATTGGCAATTTTGGGCAAAGTGTATTTAAAAAATTCAAAGTCTCCTGTCCTAATGCTTCGATTCAAGTCTAAGTAGTGATCGATAAGATGAATGTATGTAGCGTAAAATTGAGCTGTCTTGCCGAATACTCCATTTCGCGTGTCTTCTTCGTACTCTTGAAATTTTCCTATCAGATTTCTTAGATTTGCACTAATGGACGTGGTCTCAGAGAGGTACTGTTCCTGAATAGAAGCAAGTTCAGCTATTAGTGTCTCATCACAGGTGCGATCGTAATGAACAAGAAACGACTTAAAAAGTAGAATACGAAATCCTAAAGCCATTAACGGATGCAACCGTTTGCAACGATTGAAATGCTTGCCGGATATAAATCCACCCACCGATCCACTCGCTAGTATTTGGCTCTCAACCATAACATCAGCAAGGCCACATTCATCAATAAACTTGCCAACAGTGTGAAAATAGGCCATCATTATATGGAAACTGCCGAGATGTATAAATATGTTGTTGAATGTGTCCTTCTCTGCAGATTGAATGCGCATTGCCATCTTAGCAATCGCTAAATCATATGTGACTTCCATGTATTGCTGGTTTAATTCCTTTGTCATCTTCTGACATTGCAATAATGTTTCATATACGACTTCCCATTTAGTTGGAGATAGATTAATTGGGGTTAAATATGAAATTTTTTGTGTGGAGCTGGTATCGTTAAATAATTTACTATTATAGCCAACCCACATTGGTGTTTTTGGAATTCCGAGGCTGTGAGATAACATCCAAATTATATCAAGAGATCGTATATGATTTAGCTTCTCCGGAATTAAGTGATGGCACTCATCTTCAGCTGATGATAACACTTCAACCACTTTTGGTTTTTTATTATATGGCTGTAAATCAAGAATTACGGTGTCATACATTCTTCTTCTTTTCTTATTAGCGGTCTCAGTTAACGACAGTGGAGATTCAGAAGCAGTGGCAGCTGAGGTTCCTGCAGATGTACCGGGAATGGAGTCATCGTCAGAAATGTCGTGATCGGTAGCTAATGAAGGGATAGTCTGATAAATTATGCCGACAGTATCATGTAGTGTATCTTTTCCAGTGTGGGTGTCGACAAATCGATCATAATTGTCGAATGCAACGCCTGCAAGCCAGTCTCCAGTTTTAATAATATCCGACGGGCATAAATCTTCCCGATCGGTTGAAGAGAACGTTAATTCTGTCTCTATCTCTTCAATGACGTTGTAGCTAGAGCAATGACCGTATTTATTTAAAATGTCAACAACTTTTCTGCTACTAGTCAAAGACTTCATGGCCATGCCAAGAGTTAAATGTTTTGAAGTTTTGATTCTACCGGTAGATACTGCATTTATTATATCATAGCCAATCGATTGAACTTTTCTCTGGCAATCCTTATTTTTTCGCCGACGAGAACGAGTTCCCCCGATCATTGTTAAAACAAAATTATTTAACTCCGGAGGAATGGAGCATTCTCCAGCGATGACATCTTGCACATTTAATTTAGTTGGCAATGTTTTTTTTTCAATGTTTAATATGTTATTTCTCAAGATGATTGCTGCCTTTTGTAAAATATCTTCCTCTCTTAAAAACTCCATATCTTCTTCTGTTAATATGAAATCACGTGCTGGTGTAATAACTTTTTTCTTGAATGCTGTTGTAATTTGTATTTGTTCATTGTATTTTTCAAGTATTTTAGTTTCAACTGCATACGCCGTTGCTGGATTCCACGACTCTGCCATTTTGGCTTTAAATAATCGTCCCAACGTTTCATTGTACAGTCTTATGATGAATGAGAATAGAACACATTGCTTGTTTTTGATGACATGGTTTTCAATAAAATAACAAATTTCCTGAAAGGTTTCACGATGAGTATCGCGTGTGTCTTGCCAAGCAGAAGGTGGACGTGGATTAAGAATTGATTGGACCTGTATTTCATAATCGCGATGGCAGTCTCTGTGGTATTGAAATTGATTGCTATTATAAACTGGATCTTTTAGTATTTGTAACAGCCTCACAGCATTTAAGGTGGATGCTCTAGGTATAATATTATTTTCAATTGTCTTACGACTGTAGGTACGTAATCCCACACAATGACTCTTGACTGTCTTCTTTATTTTTTTACAATAAATACAACCTGAATGGATTTTTTCTGCACTTGCTTTATTAATTTTTTCTGCCGGTAGTGCTTCAACGTCATCATTATTTTCAATATTTTCTACCTCGTCATTCGTAACCTCCTGTCGCGTGGATGTTAATAAATCAACATTACCTTGAACATTGGCTTCTTCTTTCTCATCACCAGTTTCCATAACAACTGTAGCAGAAGCTGCTAAAATTGATGTGGATGGTTTGTTTGAGGCTGTTTCCGTTCTTACCAATTCCAAATATTTATTGGAGTATTTTTTCGGTAGAGACGTAAAATTTTTATAGCACTGAACGTGACACCCATGCGTTTCATTTATTGTCACCGGCAAAATAACCTCACTATACTTTAATTTTAATTTTTCACGAACTCGAAAAACTTCATGGCACTTCTTTAGTTTATCCGCGTTTAATAACGGTATTAATTCAGTTGCTTCACTAATTTCGCAAATGACACACTTTCTGTTAGACGCCATTTCCGCACAACTATTCTCTCTTCCAGACATTTCTATAAGTACTAAACGTTTCTGTGGCCCTTATATTATTCCTCACCCCCTCTGTAAATACGCAACAAGACTGGGTACTACGCGACACGTATACATTCTTTTCACACGTACACATTTATTCAGACTATATAGAATCAAGTAAGTAAGGCTGAAGACAAGGATGACAAATCATACTCTGATTAACAGAGAAAATTAAACAAACTATAATTGGGCGTGGTTTAGACCACGTGTATTAGTAATTACGCACCACCATATTTGCCAGGTTGTTTTTAATCTGAAGAGAACGAAGCAAAGTTGTTTTGTTTACTAGGTTTTTGTGTAGTTTATTATAAAAAAACTTTGTTTAATATCATTTTACTTATTTTATAATATTTGTTTATTTTATTAAAAATTTAACAATTAAATTAAATTAATTAAATATTTTAAATATTAATTTTAAAATTAAGTATTTTTGAGAAAAAAAATTAAAAATATTTGAATGAACCTACTTTTGTTCAACGAAAATATTTTAATTAAAGCATATTTTTTTATTTGTTGCAGGTTATCTACGAAAATGTAAAGCTTATGACACATTATATTAAAATAATTAAATAATTTGTCCTTTTAAAATTTAGTTTTTTTAAGAAAACAAATACCCAAAAATATTTTAGTACTGAGAATCAAACCCAAGCTCACTAAATAAGACGCTGGGCGTAAAGACACCGATTATTAATAAAATCATATCTACCTTTAAAAAAAAATAACCCCTGCCAAAATTTAGGTAAGTGTAGAAAAAGGTTCGCATATAAAAAAATAAATAAAATAAATAAAATAAAAATATTTCAAATTGAATTTTTTAAAACTATATATTTTAATAAAAAATTATTCAAATTTAAAAAAACACAATAATTAAAAAGTAGTATTTTTTTTAAATAAGACGTCGACCAACTCTCTAGGCCAATTAGGACATAAGCAAAACAATATACCTCAGATCTGAAAAGTTCCAAAAATAAAATCCACAATTTTTATTGTTTGTTCAAACTTTTGTAGTCAGGTCCATTTGGGGTGAGGGTCAAAACCTGCCTGATCTGACGTGGAATCACCCCTGTAATATTAATCTTTTCTTAATCAACAGAAAATTGAAAAAAATCTGGCCAAAGTATGACAAAGTTCAGAAAAGTATCAGTTTAGTTTGATTTTGTAGATAGCTCAAAATGATATTTTTCGATGTTTTAATAAAATTTTTAGTCGCTGGTTTATCTTATATGGATATTTTTGTTGCAAATTCAATTTTCTATAAAATTGGTCTTTAATCTTTATCTCGTATTTCCTATAATTTCATAGATATTCGCGTTTGATTGTAAAATAATTTTGATATTTTATCGATGTTCACTATATCGCCAGCTGAGAATTAGATTGTTCTATCTCCCAAAATTTAAAGAGAAACAAATAGCAGTTTAAAGTTTAATTTATATACAAATGAAATTTTAAAAAGCTGTTTTTCCGTGTCAGATTTTTGAAAGATAGAATCTCCCAAAACCTAAACACGGAAAAACAGCTTTTTAAAATTTCATTTGTATATAAATAAAACTTTAAACTGCTATTTGTCCCTCTTTAAATTTTGGGAGATAGAACAATCTACTTCTCAGCTGGCGATATGTCAGAAACTAAGCAAGTTGCGGAAAAATATGAAGAGATCTTTTTTTAGAGTTATAAATTTCCTATCAAAAATATTTTTAGTCGTTCACCCGTATCTCGAATAGTTTGAAAGATATTCGCGTCTATATGAAAAAAATCCACGAAATTTTTCTTTCGCGGCATTGCAGAGGAATTTCACAGTTGTATTTTCGTCTGACGATTTATATATATGTTTAAAATTGTCTCTACGATAATATGTAAAAACGTCAGAAGGAGGTAATGAAAATAATTTACCAAAAAAAAAAACGTGCCATGTGGGTCTGAACTTTGTGAACATTGTAGGGGGACTTCGCGGCGGTATTTTCGTCTGACGATTTTAAAATGTGCTTAAACTGGTCTCTGTTGCAACATGTTGAAACGTCAGACGGAGGTAAGAAAAAATTTTTTTGAAAAAAAAATGACAACTTTGATGGCGTCTGACACCCCTTTGGCAGCGACTGAGACGTCTGACGATTTACATACATTATCTGTGACATTTAAACTGGCAATGTGCAAATTTTCAGCCGGAGGTATGATCATTTTTTTGAGCAAGGATTTTTTCATTTTTGAGTCGTCTGACGTGTCCTTGGCAGGGGTTTTGAGCAAAATCCTTGCAGATGGCACTTCCTCATGGTCCCCCCAACTATTTCACAAAATTCCAGCCGGAGGTAATGTCATAGTACCTCCGCGGCCGCCAGCTCTCCGTCTATATCTTTTTGTTGAATTATATAATTAAAAATGCTTATATCAACTTTATTAACGGTAGACATCTCACCAATGACAGTCAAGAAAGAATTTGTACTTTAGGAACACTTTCACAGCACAAAATCAACTTATTTTCGATAACTTTACACAACTTGGATGATAGACCGAATCACATTTAACACATTTTACATCACTTACTACTTTACTTTTACACTTTTACAGGACGCGTTAATCAGTACATCAGTATCGTTCGCCATCTTTTTCGCAAGATATGTAAAAACTAATAAAAAAATTTCAAATATAACCAGTGGCGTACGAAAAAAGTTACAGGATCAGGAAAAATGTATATTAAAAACAAAAATAATTTAAATAATGTATTTAATTTCAATAATTAATTTACATATATTTTATAATATACAGCTCGTTCAGACTAAAACCGAATATATCTATATCTATATATATATATATATATATATATATATATATATATATATATATATGGGGCGTGGCCTCGCCTCCCTCCAACGCGCGACACAGTAGCTAAGCAAATAGACTGCATCGCTAATGAGATTTTTTGCATTATTATCATTTAATTTTTTAAGTCCTTACCTGCTCGACCTTTCGTCATGTCGTTTATCACACAAGCAACTGTGACGCGCCTTGGAGGGAGGCGAGGCCACGCCCCATATATATATATAGATATATTCGGTTTTATTCTGAACAGGCTGTATATGTACCTACTGCCCTACAACGCTAAAAGAGTATCTCCGATATTAAGTAATAAAGGACAAAAAAGTTTTATTGTTTATAACAATATAAATTATCTTTTATTCTTTATTAAATTATACTACAATTAAGAGTTGTAGAAAAGTATCACTATAAGTAATAATAACAATTTTGCCGGCCGAATAGCAAGAGATGGCGTAGTTGCTTGATTTTGAAGATTTGACTTTTAAAAACGGTTCTTTTAAGAAGAATTACAGTAGAACCATACCATTTAACATACTTTGTGTGTATTTTATTAATTTCAACAACAAATTAATCTAAATTCAATAGTATGAAATAAAATTAACGACAAGGAGTAAAAGTAATAGGTACCAAAAATGTTTTAAAACTCCCTTAGTTGGATGTTTCCTAACGAAAACAAAGGTAGTAGGGGGTAGCTCAGTTGAGCAGGCTTAAATAAAATTATGGCATTGGCATGCAAATTGGACATTAATAAATCTAACACTAGGACCATCTGGGCTGCGCAAATAGTTTGGGACTAGTATACTTTATAACTTAACTTAAGAACCGGAGTTCTAGTTATGCGAATTTCCTTGAAATCTATTTATCTACATTTTTAATGGCTTTTATAACAAGGTTCCGAAAATTTATATTAATATTGATTTTATTATACATACAATAATAGCATTTGTTTAATAATGTAATTCAGTATACTGTAAAGGAATACTAAATTAATTTCATTTATCCTTTATTTAATCACTGTTCGAAAACAGCAAGTATATGCCCAGAGTGTACTCTCGGTTGTCCAAGCTTTAAGCGTCATTCACTTTGCATACGTGTCATAACAATAAAACATTAGATAAAAAACATAAATGATTATTCTCAATTTAGATCGACGTTAAACATAGGAAACATGCGCATGCGCAAGATAAGTGACAGGGTATTTTGTTTATTTACAATTTGAGGTTATTGCTCGCTTATGTTCTGTGATCGCTCGTGAAATTGTTATGGATATTAAAGAAGTTATTGTTGTTCAGTTTGCGTTAGCATGTGGAGCAATAGGTGCTCTTTTGGCCAATCATTTTTTACAAAATAAGGACCGCCAAATTTGCCGTCCCCGACGTCGCAGAAGGTTTGTATAGGTACCTACAAAATTCATTTGAGTGTCACAAATATCTTCATTAGGTGGTGGGTGCGTCCAATTAATCAAGTTCGAGAGCAACAAGGAGATTATCATAACCTGTTGCAGGAGATGAAATTGTATGATACTGAAATGTTTTTTCATTACACTCGTATGACAGTACAGCAGTTTAATCATTTACTATCGGTAGTTGGCCCTTTACTTACAAAAAGAAGCAATCGTACACCATTAAACCCGGAACATCGATTGGCAATAACATTACGGTAGGCTGTTAAAAAAACATTATTTAACCCTTGATTGATTATTTTTTGTAGATTCCTGGCAACTGGCTCTTCGCAACAAACATTGGCATTTCAATTTAGAGTAGGAAAATCTACTGTCTGCAAGGTATTAAGTGAAACATATGGTGCCTTATGGGACTAATTATCTAACAAAGTTATCATAAAACCTTCAGAAAATAACTGGCTGCAAATTAGTAAAGATTTTCTTGAAAATGGAATTTTCCACATTGTCTTGGTAATTTTTAAAATGTTATTTTTATAAATTGCTTATTAAATACAAAATTTGTAGGGGCATTAGATGGAAAACATTTTCAAGTTCAATGTCCATCAAATAGTGGGAGTGAATGTTTTAACTATAAAAAATATTTCAGTGTAGTCCTGTTGGCATTATGTGATGCCAGTTACAAATTTACCATAGTGGATATTGGGGGTATGGGCTCTGAAAGTGATGGAGGATTATTTGCAAGATTACTTTTTGGGAAAATGTTGGAGCAGAATCACTTGCATATACCACAACCTTGTCAATTGGGCAAATTTCAAAATAATTTTCCATATTTCATTGTTGGAGATGAAGCATTTTCTTTAAAAGATTATTTAATGAGGCCATATCCTGGAAAACAGTTAACCAAAGCAAAACAAATATTTAATTACAGATTGTCCAGGGCAAGACGTATCATCGAAAATACTTTTGGAATTTTGGTATCTCGGTGGAGATTATTTCAAGGACCT